GAAAGCTGCACTTCCTCCACTGGAAATCAAGGCTGGGGGATGTTTTGGCCCAAAGTTCCCCTTGGCCCCAAGACCTGCTGCGCAATTTTCTGTAGCCCGATCCTTGTGACAATGAAGCGATTTGTTGTGTTCCAGCCACCCGCTGTGATCACGAGGCTTTTCCAGGAGTGTCCTCAGTTTTATTTTCCCTTCCTAGACGTGAGGCTGAACGTGCTGTCAGTCAGCTCCTTGGCAGAGGCTGCTGCTGAGCCCGGAGCTATGCTCTTCCTCCAGCTGTGCTCCGTCCCAGTCAACATCTGGGCTGCTGTAGGACATGGGTTGCTCACCTTGCCCACCACCAGCCCATCCATGGTGGCACCAAGAGTCCCTGGTGAGCAAGATCCGCTGCCCTTCGCTTTCTGAGACTGAGCAGCCGCTCTCACCATGCTAATTGGTGAGGATGAGGGGACTGGAACGCTCTAGGAAATAGGAGTTTCCCTCTTGGAAATATCACAGGAAGCATGGAGGAAATGACGTGGTTTAGGAGCGGTTACCTCACTTTTCTGTCTCATCTGAACCAGCGCCCCTTTCATCGAGGTATACAGAACCTAAACAATGCGATGCCAGCTGGCTTATAAATAAACCATTTTCCGTTTCCACACCGGGTATCGGGCTGATTTTCGATACCACGTGAGGAGGGAGGAAGAGCTTTTTTTTGCTTGTGACCTTTCGGATCGACTGCCTGGCTGCCTCCCCGCTCGCTTCCCCCTGCTCTGCTGTCATAGTTAATAACTCTTCCACATGCTGTCTTTCGGAGCACAGCCCAGAAATGGTCATTTTTGCAGGTAGCCAGAGCTGTTACATATCTATAATATTTATTTTTTCATATTCTCGTTCTGCCAAAGCTGCTGAGGTTTGCTAGCAAACAGATTGTGGTGAAACACATCCAGAGTCGTGGTGCTGCCATGTTTTCTTCTCCCTCCCAGTGAGATGGTTCCATGGGCCTGTGTTAGTGTTTCAGGTGGGTGCATCTCCAGCGAGGAAAGAGCCTTAACCATCCTATAGGTGCTGTTGACTCTTTCGCTGATGGGCTCTAAAGGAAAACGCCCAGTATCACTGGTTTTAAATAGACAGCCCTGTCTGCACCGATGGGATAATGCAAGAGTCCGACTTAATGTTCCTGTGGCTGAATCATGGCACTAAATGTCTGAGTCACGGGAGATGAATGCGGCGTTTCACGTTGGTGTGAACTGAAATGTGAACAGCAGTGTCTTTATTAGAGGAGCTAATATTTGTGCTTATTATGGGTTTCATTAGGTTTTAAAGTGAAACCATCTAGAAGAGTCCCTTTTACGATGTGTATAAACAGACCGCGAACATTTGAATGCCGGGTTTTTAATGGGATGCTGGTCTGGATGGGGAGGAAATGAAACTTCAGAGGAAAGCGCGGTACCGCGTTCCTTGGGCGTTTACTGCCCGTAACCGATTGTCTCCATTTGTTTCAGCCATCTGACTCTCCTGAAATCCTGTGCAATTTTCATGTAAAAAGGATTTCTCGGTTATTACAGTTTTAGAAGAAAACATTGAAAGCACTATTGGCCGTATCCCTTTTTGCTTCCCTGTAGAAGGCTCTTTGCTATTCCAAGCTCTTCCTGCTCATAAAAGTCACCTGTCCCTGAGGAGTAAAGGCTTTGCTCAGGTTTCTTCTGGTTGCTGCTGTGTCAGATGGCCCTTCTGCATTCTTATGGGACTTTTGGACCTTTGTCACTCGTCCTTGCGAGAAACGTGGATTTGCCTTTATCCTCGATGTGCAGTTGGGTGCAGGTGAGGTTTTCTCTCCTTACTGGTGTTGGTAGAGCTGAAGCAGCCTGACTAGATAGGGTGCTGAACCCCAGGCGTCGGGGCTCTGTGCTCTTCGTGTGCTGTTGGCAGGGAACTTCGGCAGCTTGCTTTGTCCCGTGTTTTTCCCCAACTTTTAAAGCACCATGGATGCGAAGGGTTGTTGAAGAGCACCGTCAGTATGGCTGCTCCTACCCTCCGTCTTTGGGCTAGAGTTGAGACAGGAACTTTTTTTTTTTCTGCGTTGTTTCTACCGGTGCAGAATTTGCACCTTTCTTTCCAGAGCTGGAAGTGAAGGATGGACTGGCAAGTTTTTCTGGCTAAGGGTCCACCTTGAAAATAATGATTTTTGGTGTTATTTTTGGTTTGAATTTCTGCTGTTCTCTGCGGTTTGCCATCCTTCTTCTGGTGGAGTTTTTGTTCTTTATACCCCAAAGAGGAGAGAGTTGTGGCAGATACTCGTAATTGATGTTTGAAGTCCACTCCCAGTTGCAATTTGAAATGCGGATTCGTGTCTCTTTGCTCCTTGAGCTCACAGCCCAGTGTTTCGGAAGCAAATATTAATGCTTCAAACTTTATTACAAGTGCCTTTGCCAAACAGTCGTCTTTTTCTCTTTGTGATGGCTCGTAAGGCCTGATCAACGATACAGAAACATCAAAGCGCTTTATTGCACGGTCGTGTTTCCACAGCCTGGAAAACAGCTCCTGCAGCACCGGAGCCCGAGTACCCATCGTGCGTGCTCTTGGACTGCAGCCACTGGGAATTCAAATGCATTATTTTAAATCTTTTTCATCAAAATTTAAGCTTCTGTTTCACTAATGTAGAAATAAAGGGTCGGGTGTATGATTGTGCTGCTGTGCTTTAACAACCTACCCTGTGTCATCTGTTCTGCAGCAGAGCTTGGTGCACTCGTAATTCATGGAAAATGCGGTGTAAAATGCAATGGCTTTAATCTCCTTGGACGTCAGGCCAGTCTAGATGCAGTGTTTAGCGTTCTGTAGCATTCCCGGATGCAGGGATGTTTTTTCCAGACCTCCTTCCAAGCCGGACAGCTGATTTACAGACTTGGAGAAATCATCCAGCCTCTGTCTCCAAACTTTGTGGGTCCCTGCCAGATGGCAGCGTATTTAAATGGGTTTAAAACGTCTTTTTCTTTGTTCCGAAGCGAGGAGCCCTAAATGAGGTGGAGCGGGCCAGTGAATCAGTACGTTAATCGCCCACAACGAGAATCCAAAGTACTTGGAAGACCAACTGCTGTGGCTGACCAGACAGAAGCGGAGGCTCCTCTTCCGAGCACAGAGATGCCTGGTGGTGGGAGGCTGAGAAGAGCAACGCTTTCAGGAACGTCCATGTGTTCTCTGCGAGGGAGGACAGTGCTATTTGCTCCTCCGCCTCCACGTGTCTGCTGATCCCTTGCTCCTCCACCTGCTCCCGCTGCCATGCTCTCGCTGTCTGCGGGGATGGTGGTCGTCTGCTCCATAGGCAGGAGTTAGGATGAGCAGGGTGCTGGTGCAGGTGGAGAAGGTGCAGAGGTGTCCTGCTTCCTCCATCCTGTGTTTTTACAGCCGTGCTTCGGAAGGGAGGAGCGGATTTTGCAAGTTGTCCGATGGCACACCTAGTATGTTAGTGGAAGAACCAAGAGCATCAACGTCTTCCAGGTGTGTTTGTGGCTTAGGTGGAGTTTTATTACATTTCAAAACTACCCCCTTCCCTTTTCTGGGGTATGTTGGTGGCAAAACTGCCTCCCACAGTGATCTCCACCGCCACGAGGCTGGCGTTCGCTTTGGGCCCCTGTTCTGGCTAACGTGCAGCATTGATTGTTCCCAGCTGCACCAGCCCAAATTGACAATGTTGGATTTTGTCATTTCCCAGAATAGAAGATTTTTTTACTACTGGGACTGCTGCAGTAGTGAGCTTGTCCTGAACTCTTCCTGGCTGCCTGAGGAATATTCAGCGATATCGAAGGACTGCGGCTGCTGGCTTGACAAGGACAAGGGACCTCGGGGGCTGCAGCAGATCTTTGGTGTGTTTAAAACCACTGTTTCCTACGGCGGAGAGAACAAACCTGGATGTGTCAGATGGGTTCAAGTTCCTGACTAGGCACTAGAGTGATGCAGCAAATTCCTGTATATTTTTGAAAATTGTTTTTTCTTTTCCGCTGAGTTAAGATTAAGCTTCTCGACGTTTAAAGGTTTTCCCACTCCTCTGTGGTGTGGTGTACAGGGGTTGGAAATGGTCCGTGGGTTCACTGAAGTCCTAACACAAACTTTCATGAAAAATTAAAGAATCCAAGTGGACATATTTAAGCTCTGGAGACTTTTGTTATTGTCATGCAAATGCTGAAGGGGATATTTGTTACCTTAACCATCAAGATGCAATACACTAAATAAAAAATAAACTCTTACTTTCCTTGTGTTAAATTTAAATTAAACGAGAAGACACCTTCCCGGCTCCTGCCTTCTTCCTCGTAACTTTCATGGAGAGAGGAATTGCTATGAAATTGTATTTTTATTATACATCTGGCTAGATGCATATCAGCTTAGGCACTCTTTGAAATTCCCTTTGCTCTCAGGGTAGCAACAACAACGGTTAGAGTACTGTGCTCTGCCATTCATCCCCACCTTGGTTTGTGTTTTGCAGGCTCAGGTACTCTGTTACCTCCTCCATCCCATTTGGGAGCTGAAACCCCTCCGTGTGCTGGCGTGCGTGGTTTCTCCAAGCCCGTCCTCCAGCAAAACACCCCAGTCTCTCCTTCTCCCCTCTCCCAGCTTTTCTCTTTTCTTGCTAAACTTGCTGCGAGCAAGGAGCGAGGGGTGTTGATGATTTGGATTATGCAGCTAAGTGGCTGGAGCATGGCTGGCTGTCTCCTCCCCTTCCTGAGCTTCAGCCCCAGCCAGCTCGGCTCTGGAATGACTTTTTGAAGGGAGCTGGCACGGACGTCTATTTATGAGAATCAAGTGCCCCTGCCATGGGGTACGGGGAGAACAGGACCTGCGCTCAACCGTCGCGCACCCGTGCCGTTGCCTGAGGGTTGGCAGCCGCCTCGCTCGCCGGGCTCCTTCCCAGTCCAACGCGTGGATTTATCGTTTTAAAGGACTAAAGTGCTCTCTCAGGGTAGACTTTTTTCCCCCCTCACTCCCCCTCCCGTCTCTTCCCGGAGAGCTGCTTAGAAAAGAATCTAATGGGGCAGCCGCACTTCTCGAGACCGGTAAATCCAGCTGCTTTCGGTG